CACCCTGAGAAGGCATCCATGAGTCCAAGGAGATAACAACTCTGTGCACAGTTGGCATGTGAGTAAGGGAGCCCTGCTTTGGGTGGGTGGGGAACTTTGGAGGGAAGGATCGGTGCCATTTTGTCTGTCAGCAGGTGGGGCTCTGTGCCTGGGAGAGCAGTGTCTGCCACCTGATACCATGAGGGACCTTGTTCGCACCGCAGTCTGCACGGATGAAGCCAAGCTGAGCACCAGGTGCACTCCTTTTCCTTGGCAGTAAGTGTAGAGGTTCATACATAGTAAACATCTCCCCAGGTTAAAAGGTACACTTGGGAGAGGCAAAGAACTCTTATACTTACACAGGTTTTCGGAAAAGGAGCTTAACTTTTCCTCAGTCTTGACCATATTGGACACAGAAAAGGAGACATGGACCCTAGTGGGACCCTCTGGTCCTACCACCTCCTTTAGGGGGAACTTATATGTTTGCATGTGCCCCTGAGATTGAGTGATGGGGGGAAACCCAGGACTGTGGAGGCCTGGGGGAAGGAGCCAGTCCACGTGGTGGGTAGAGGAAGGCAGTTCCAGAAGGGAGGGAGGGAGTCACCTCAGACTGCTTGCTATTCTATTTCAGGATGTTATATAGGTCCATAGATAAAGGACATTTTGATTAAAAGTGCCAAATTCTGGCCAGCAGTTGCAGTTACCTAATTCACATTGAGTTCAAATTTGCAAGCAAAGGCATGACATTTTGTGAACCTAAAGGTCCATGGGTGCCAGAGGCTTAAATTTTTTTTAACACACAGGCCAAGGGTGATTCTTTAGGAAATTTAAACTCCAGACCCCACTGTGTGAGGCAGAGTGATGGGCTCCTGTCTCTAGGCTGAGTCGTCACCCAACAGAGACCAGAGAAATGGAGATGCAGCAGTGAATTTGGGTTCCCTCGTTCACTGTGGGTCAGGCCGAACCCAGAAGTAAGGAATGCACACAGCAGTGAATTTGGGCATCTCCTCGTTCTCTGTGGGTGCAACCAAAGCCGGAGCCAAAAGGCTGAGGGTCCCTGGAACCCGGAGGACGCTATCCTAGGTCCCCATGGGCTGGGAGTGGGGCTGCCGGCCTCCTTGGTGCGTGCTGACACCCGTGTGAGTGCCTGCACAATCTGTGTTGAGCTGTGGGCCCTTCCCAGAGGGCCTGCGTGGGGCTACAGAGGGAGGTGAGCCAGAGGCGGGGAGGAGCCTGGAGCCTGCCCTCTTTCCCTGGGAGTAGCAGTGAGGAGTGGGGAGCTGCAGGTCTTCAGTGAAGCTGAACTTTGATGTGGAGCCAAGACTTGACCCCAGGGACTCTAATAATATGGGTTGCGGGGGATCACAAAGGGTGTCTTAACCATTGGGCCAAATGCCAGCCCCTGTAACCCCTTTTTTTTGTGGGTTCCTGTTCCCAGCAATTTTGGTCTCACTTCAAGGGCTCTTACTCAGAAATCACAGGGAACTGGAGAGTTCCCGCTGGCACCTGTGAACCCCTTGGAAATGAACGAAAAACTCTGGGTGTGGGTGGGGCTCTTCTCTGGAGACAAGAGCCACAGCTTCTCCTAAAGGCACCCCGGAGACAGAAGTCCCAAGAGAGGTGCTGGATTTGGGGCTGAGGGGAGTGAGCAGTGGGCAGATGCTGCAGATGCCCAGGGAGCCCCTCCTGCCCACAGGACACGTCGTCCAGTGATGGGGACTCGGACTGGGATGGGGACGGCCGCCTCTCCCCGCTTCTGACCTGTGACCACCTCAGGATGCTGCGCTGCTTCTGGCCCGGGGGCATCGTCACCTTCTGTGTGGCTTAGGTCAGTGAGTGTGGCACACGGAGGGGACTGTGTACCCAGGTATGGAATGTAGGAGTGAATCAATGGTTGTTAGTAGGGGAGGGTGCAAAGGAAGGGCTTGGAGTTCTGGGAAGCAGGAGGGGAATTGAGGGATGCTGTGGTCACCACCGCCTTGTGCCTCTGCAGGCCAACAAGGCTTGGGCCCAGGACTGCCCCACGCCATGCCTGTGCACGTATGGGGCTGCCCTGCTCCCTCTGGCCTCCTGAACCCCACCCTAGTTGCCCCTGCAGCCCCCACTGTGAACTTAGAAGCCAGCAGCCCAGCGCCTCCCTGTGCAGGGTGGAGAATCCTGATGGATGAGGAGGTGGCCACAGCATCATCAGAAATGGAGTGAGCCGAGAAACCCCTCCTCTTCCTGGCCTCTGACATGGTGGGCATTTGGAGAGTGTGCCAGTGGATGGGAGATTTCTGTCTCTTCCACAAAACACACACACACACACACACACACACACCAGAAAAACAGAATTTTTAAAAAGTTATGTGATTTAAAACACTTTAAGGTCATACAATTTTTAAGATTTTTTTTAAAAAATTTATTTGAAAGGCAGTTACAGAGAGAGGGAGAAACAGAGCAAGCAAGAGAGCGCTTTCATTTGCTGGTTTACTTCCTAAATGGCTGCAATGGCCAAGGCTGGGCCACGCCAAAGCCATGAACCTGGAGCCTCTTCTGGATCTCCCATGTGGGTGCAGAGGTCCAAGCACTTGGGCCATCCTAGGCTGCTTTCCCAGACACATCAGCAGCAAGCTGGATTGGAAATGGAGCAGCTGGCTCTTGACCAGTGCCCATATGGGATGCCGACATCACAGGCAGTGATGTACCATGCCACAACACTGGCCCCACAGATTTTCCTTTTTTAAAAATATTTATTTATTTGAAAGTCAAAGTTCCGCAGAGAGATCTTCCACCCACTGGTTCACTCCTCAATTGGCCGCAACAGCCGGAGCTGCACTGATCCGAAGCCAGGAGCTTCTTCCGGGTCTTCCACGCAGGTACAGGGGCACAAGGACTTGGGCCATCTTCCACTGCTTTCCCAGGCCACAGAAGAGAGCTGGATCAGAAGTGCAACAGCCGGTTCTCGAACCGGCACCCATATGGGATGCTGGCACCAAAGGCAGCAGCTTTATCCACTTTGCCACAGCGCGGGCCCCCAATTTTTCTTAATATGCAATTTGCATGAGCTGTCTGAAGACTGTTTGTACATGTGGATTTTAAATTTTTTCTCCTTGGGGCTGCCACCATGGCTGTGGTAAAACTGCTACCTGTAATGCTGGCATCCGATATCAGTTCCAGTTTGTGTCCTGGCTGTTCCACTTCCAATCCAGCTCCCTGCTCATGGCCTGGGAAAAACAGCCGGAGATGGCCCAGGTATTTGAGCCTCTACCACCCACGTGGGTGGAAGAACTGGAAGAAGCTCCTGGTTCTTGGCTTTCACCTGGCCCAGTGCTGGCTGTTGTGGCCATCTGGGGAGTGAACCAGTGCATGGAAGCTCTCTCTGTAATTCTCCCTTTCAATAAATAAATATATCTTTAAAAAATTTGCCCCAAAATTTATCTTTTCTAGAAAAAGTTTTATTACCTACATGAAAGGCAGAGAAATACCTATCTTTATATTAAAGTTGTTTGTCAAATGTCTGCAACAGGGCTGGACTCAGGCCAAAGACAGGGGCCAGGAACTCCATCTGGGTCTCCCACAGGGGTGGCAGGAGCCCAATTCCAGGTGCTGCGATATGGGATATGGGTGTCCCAAGCAGGAGACGACTCCTGGCTTAGTGTTACCCTGAGCACCTAAGGGAGTGACTGGCAAGATACTCATTTCTTGCTCAGGGAGCCATCATGGGGACTGCGAGGTGGTGCAAGCCCCTGAGGCCCACAGGGAGGGCCTGGCTGATGCGGCAGGCGCCTGGCCCGGCTGTGGGGAGGGGCTCTGCAGAAAGCTCATGTGTGCGGGCTCATACCTGCTGAGTGTTCGAGGGGATGGAGGCAGCTGTCCAGTTGCAAATTGAAATGCTCCCTGCATTTCTCAGTGCCTCTTGGGGTGCCTCCACCCGAGTCCCAAGGGGCCACAGTTCCTCCCTGACAGGTGATGCCCCAGAGTCCAGGGTGCTGGTGTTTGCCTGAGTATCAGCTGCGAGCTGGGGCTGTGGGGCCTGCCCCATCCCTCTGCAGACAGCTGGTGACCACAGCAGCTGACTGACTGCTCTGCTTGTTCCTCGTCTAAAACGGGACACGGGACAGGTATTTGGAGGTGGTTAAGACGCCACTTACGGGGCCTGTGTTGCGGCAGAGGTTAAGCCACCATGTGCAATGCCAGCATCTCGTTTGGGAGTGCTGGTTTGAGCCCTGGCTGCTCCACTTCCAATCTAAATCCCTGCTAATGTGCCTGAGAAGGCAGAGGAAGATGGCCTGAGTAGTGTGCCTCTGCCACCCATGGGGACACCTGGATGGAGCTCCTGGCCCCTGGCTTTGGCCTGGCCCAGACCCATCTGTTGCTGGCATTTGGGGACTGAACCGGGGGACAGCAGATCTCTGTCTCTGCTCTTAGGACGCCCACACCCCACATGAGTGCCTGGGTTCCAGCTCCATTCCTCATTCCAGTCTCCTGCTCATGCAGAGCTGAGAGGCAGTGGTGACAGCTCCAGTACTTCCTGCTGCCCACATGGAGGCCCGGATGGAGTTCCCAGCTCCCGGCTTTGGCCTGGCCCAGGCACAGATCTTGTAGGCATTTGGGGAATGAACCTGCAGGTGGAAGATCTCTCTGTTGCCTAAAGTAACCAGGGACTGCAACGGCAGCTGCCGCCATGTCACAGGGTACGTGGGGGCTGAAGCAGCAGTGCCAGGTCCTCCTGTAGTCTGTGAAGCCCTGTGTGCACACGGTGCACCTGGGTCTCCCATAGACAGTGGCTACTGCCCCCATCTCTTCTGTCCTGGCTCCTACTGCAGCCACACTGGCTACCTTGTGAGTGCTTAACCCCGGGGGCCCTTGCCCCACAACCTCTAAGAGCTCACCCCTTTCCCCCTTCAGGGTCCCACCTGACAAGCAACCACTTTTTTAGGCTCCACGATTCCTGGATGGTAGCGCGTGGGTCTCATTCACTGCCAGCAGGCAGTGGCTGTTCCACAGACGTGGTTAGTAAGGAGGGAGCATCAACACAGTGACTGTTTTTCCTTTTAATTTGATCCAGGGAGTGGGGGTCTGTGCCCCTGGGCCTGGGGGCCACAGCTTCCCTAACTCCAGGAGTCCCCACAGCTGCACACCCACAAGCTCGCCCGGGCACACAGGGACACAGTCTAGGCTGGGCCACTGGTGGGTGACCAGCCAGAGACAAGGGTGGTGTTGGCAGGGGGAGGGCACCGGCCTCAGTTTCCCTCAGCTCTTGGAGTAGCGCCGGAGCAGCGAGTCCCGGTAGAAGCGGAAGACGTGTTGCGAGGCAGTCTGGGCTGCAGCCAGGCACTGCTGAAGCTGCCCAGGGGGAGACAGTCAGTGTCGTGGTTTCACCCTGCACCCACCCATGGCTGGGCTAACTCCCAGAGCCCTGAACCCATTGGCTCCCCGAGGCAAGGCAGGTGGTGGGGGGCTGTGTGCTCCCCTCCTTCCCATGTCCCGAGTTCACTGAGTAGGACACAGGGAGAGGAGAGAGGGCGAGGAATTCGGGGTTCAGTCCTCAGCCCAAGGGGACTGGGCATCCTGACACCTGCGAGGGCCCTTGGCCTTGCAGAGCCCCAAAACCTCAGTGCTCACAGAGGGCTTGGGAGTTCATGCCCTGGGCCCCAAATAACCTAAAGAGCCATCCAATCTCCACACAGGTACCTCAGCATCTGAGTAGAGCCCCTTGGTGGTAGACATCAACAGCTTCCGGTCCACACTGTCCAATGCAAAGGTCAGCACTGCGCGGGCCTCCTAGGGATGATGGGGAGATGGTGGTGGGAGACCTAGGTCCTTCCTCTTAGATAAAATCTCAGTGAGTCCCAAAGAGGGGGCTCCTGACCCTTAGCCTCGAGGCCTGGCATTCCCATAGCCAGGTGCACTGGCTACAGACCACGCCCTCCCTGCTTCCCTGGGCAGTGGCTCCCCACACCCGACTCCACCCATGGTGCTGGTCATTCACCAGGTGTCTCTCAGTCTCTCCCCTGCCTTCCAGGCTCTGTACCCTGGAAAATGGAAGCCAGCAAACTACATTTCCCAGAATGCCTTGCCAGGCAATGTTGCCAGTCACTTGGGAGACTGCAGGCAGCAAAAGCTACACCTGGGTCTCCCATAGACAGTGGCTACTGCCTGACTGCGATGGAGGGAGGGCAGGTTCTGGACTTCAGCTGCCAGGAGAGAGCGGGGACATCTTTTGTGCATCCAGAACCGACTGCCGCGTCTCGGACACGGCAGGAGCTGGCCTGCAGCAGCAGTAGCAACACAGGCCGGTGAGGCTGCTCACCTCCGGGAGTTGCCCTCTTCCCTTTCTGCTCTTCCAGCTCTGCTAATGCTGGTGTGGCCAAGTCCCTGCCTTATGCTTCTCTATCAGAAACACCCCCGGTGGAGGCTCTTCTCCCGACAGCTTACAACCCTGAAAGTCCTGGGCGGGTCACTCAGAACCCTTAGTGCCCCAGGACTCTGGGAACTGCAGCCAGTGAGGGACACTCTCTCTCATCCCCTTTGCTTTTGAGTCCCTTGAGATGGACTCAGGGAGCTGAGCCACAGCCTCAGAAGATGCTGGGCCCACAGAAGGAAGCCAAGGTGAGGAAAACAGCAGGGCTGATGGGGCTGGCACTGTGGGGCAGTGGGTTCAGTGCTGCCTGCAACACCTGCATTCCGTATGGACGCTGGTGAAGTCCTGGCTGCTCCCTTTCTGATCCAGCTCCCTGCTAGTGCACCTGGGAAAGCAGCAGATGTCCAGATGCTTGGGCCCTTGTGGTCCACATGAGAGACCTGGATGGAGCTCCTGGCTCCAGCTAAGTCAAGCCTCAGCTGTTGGGGCCATTTGGAGAGGAAATCAGCAATGGAAGTTCTTCTCTCTCACTGTAACTCTGCCTTTCAAATGCATAAACGAATAATCTCAAAAAAAAAAAAAAACAGCAAGCAAGAGTGTGAGTAGTGGGAAATCCTGACAGGGCCTGGGGCCCTGGCTCTGGCTAACTTCTGCTCTTTCTCAGTTTGGTGAAGACACCCAGTCCTTTCCCTGCTTTGCTGATGTAAGTCTGGGGTGGGTTCCTTGCACCTGCGGCTGAGGGGACCCTGAAGAGCAGAACAGGGGCGAGACGCCTGGAGGAGGAGACAGCCCTGCAGCGCCCTGGTCTTCCCACCAACCTTCTCTTGCTTGGCCGTGGGGTCCAGCACGAGGGTGCCATCAGAGTCCAGGGCACAGGTGACCCCGCAGAAGAGAGCCCGCATGGGCACACCCGCGTCCACCAATGCCATGCAGGCAGCATTCAGGCAGCAGGCCAGGAGCTGAGCACCACGGGTGGCAGTGGTTAAAGAAAAGTCTCTGTTCACGGCTGACCAGCAGAACACACCCCCGCCTCCCTTCAGCCTGCCCATGCCTGGGGCAGACATCACCAGTGGGTCACAGAAAAGCAGCCGGGCAGGGGCGTTCCAAGTGGTTCTGGGATCAGGAAAGCCCGGGTTCCAGACCTGGCTTGGGTGTCTCAGCCGTGAGGCCTTGCCCAGGAGACCGGCAGAGTCTGTCACCATGATGCTTACTGAAGTCAGCCGCAGGCATCTGCAGGGCAAGTGTCCGAGACAAGAAACCTTCCCCGTCACGTGGGGAGGAGCACAGAACGCAGGAACCCAGCACTCCCAGGCGGCAGAGCTGGCAGGGCCCTGGAGCAGCCGTCCGCCCGTCAAGGGTGGGGTGTGGCACAGCGGAAGGCGGGCCCAGCACTGGTCACACACCTGGCTCTGCCTCAGTCTTCCTCCCCAGACCCAGCAGAGCAGAATGGGCGCCAGCTTCAGTGTCAGTCACATCCGGCTCTGCCCTTCACCCTCGGCCACTTCCTCTGAATTTCAGCTCCTGCTCTGTAAAAGGGGCCACCGCAGCTCTTCTGTGCGGCTGTCCACACAGCGCCGCCTCCAGCAATGCCTGCTCTGGCCCTCGCCCTCAGCCTCACTTGCTGAAACCACAGGGATCTTTAGGGGCGAGCCTCGGGGCTCACCCAGTGCTGAGAGCGTGAAACCCACACTAGGGTGCAGGGTAGAGGGCACTGGCACAGGCTCTGGGGTCAGAGTCCTGCCTCTGCCACTCTCAGCGGTGCGGCCCTGGGCCAGCCTGTTCCCCTCTCTGGGTCTGTTTCTTCAGGAAACAGGAAGGGAAGGACGTGCAATGCCGGGGCCGTGGGCTCCAGCCCCGAGGGTCCGTGCTCTGCACGTCAGGAAGTGGCTGAGGCACTGAGGACAGCTGGGTCTGCTCTCCTTCAGCAACTCAGGGCTGGGGGCGGACACCGGGGGCAGCAGGGAGATGCTGCTCGGGACACCCGTGTCACAGTGCCTTCAGTCCAGCTGCCTGCTAATGTCCGCCCTGGGACGCTCAAGTGTCTGGGTCCCCGTCATACATGTAGGAGACCTGAGTTCTGAGCACCTGCTTTGGGCATTTGGGGGAGTAACCAGTGAATGGAAGCCCTCTCTCTGGATCAGAAGTGGACCAGCTGGGATGCGAACCGGCACCCATAAGGGATGCTGGCACTGCAGACAGCAGCCTTACCCACTATGCCACGGCGCTGGCCCCAATCAATAAAATATTAAAAAAAAAAAAAAAAAAAAAAAAAAAAAAAAGCTAGCAGGCTGGGGAGGACGTGAGAGCAGTAGCAGGGTTTTGTGCGTTCACTGATCCATGACATGGGTTTTGCAATTTGAGAGATCTCTCTCTGGCTTTCAAATAAATCAAATCATTAAAAAAAATCAAGTTAGTGCCTATGAAGTGTCTAGGGGATTTCTGGCCAGCAGAGGGTGTGCACCTGGACCTCAAGGGAGGCAATCAGGAGGTTCTGGGGGAGGTGGCTTAGGAGCAAGGATACGGAGCCAGCGTCACTGACGATCTGCAGCACCACAGTGATGGAGGTGCGCGGGTGCAGCGCCCCCAGCACGACGGCCTCACACGTGTTCCGGATCATCCGCTCCCGGTTCTTCTCTGCCACCCCTGGGGAAAGCGAGGGCAGGAGTCGGGCTCCTTCTCCATTGGCTCACCGCCCTCAGCTGTGGTGGTGCAGGCACTCACACGGGTGACAGAGCATGTCCAGTGTGCGGCAGGCAGGGGGGTAGCCGCCACCCACCCCACCCCTGCTTCCCCAGCATGCACCAAGGGGGCTGTCAACCCTGCTCCCAGCCCATGGGGACCAGGGACCGGGGAGCAGAGGGTAAAAGGGCAGAAAGCAGGTTGATGGAAAGAACGGGGATGGAGGTAGAGACAAAAGTGACAGCGACAAAGAAACAGCCAGGGAGGCGAGAGGGAGCAGTGGAGAGTGGGGACAGCAGGCAGGAGGCGCCCGTGGGGGCAGCCGGGTCCCATTACCAGGCAGCCCGATCTTCGGCCTCAGGATCACTTCAAGCGTGGCTTTGTTGAAGATCTCTTTGCTGACCTTCACCTCGGCTGGCCCGTACACCCCTGCCAGCACGGAGGTGTCGCCTGGGGAGACAGCAGGGCAGGCTTCACCTGCACGGTCCCGGCCTCGGCGGCCAGGTGCACCGCTTTACCGGATGGGCCCTGAGACCGACAGCCGGGTCCCTGTCACCCCTGCCACTTGGTGACACGAGTGCTTTCAGCACCTACCTGTCCAACCCCTGCTTTCTCACCTGCAAAGAGGACAACGCTGCCTCCCCCGTGGCATCCTGGTTCAGCGACACGGTTCACTCAGAACGCCGCCTGGCACAGGCCGGGCGCCCGACAGACCGTGGCTGAGAGCAGCTGCTTTACCAGGAAGTTCTTCCGAGGAGCTAACCTCCTCCCTCTCGCTGCAGCGACCTCTGCATCTCCTTCCGCAGCTTCCCCAGCCCAGCTCCCTTCTCCGGGGCTCCCAGCCCCAGATTCTGCAGCGGCCCAGACAGCTGAGAAGGGTAAATACTCAGGTGGAGCCTGACTCCTGCTTTTTCTCAGAGCAGGTCGGGTGCAAGGGGAGGGAGGACTTGGGCATGAAGGGCCTGGCTCCTCATCCCATCGGCCTGCTCCAGCTCTGGAACCAGGCTGAATTTGCTCCCCTTCCTGGGCCTCTGTGTTGCCATGTGCACGGGGCAGACACCGCCCTGTAACGGTCTCCAGCCTGTCTGACCTCAGTCCAATTAGAAATCTGTTTACAGGGACCCCCAAAATCACAAAACCCACGTCATGGATCAGTGAACGCACAAAACCCTGCTACTGCTCTCACGTCCTCCCCTGCTTGCTTGCCTTTTTTTTTTTTTTTTTAAAGATTTTATTTATTGGGGCCAGTGCTGTGGCGTAGTGGGTAAGGCTGCTGTCTGCAGTGCCAGTATCCCTTATGGGTGCCGGTTCGCGTCCCAGCTGGTCCACTTCTGATCCAGCTCCCTGCTGTGGCCTAGGAAAGCAGTTTTTGCTGCAAATCGGCACAGCTCCAGCTGTTTCAGCCAAGTAGGGAGTGAACCAGTGGGTGGAAACCACCCCTCCGCCTCTCTTTCTCTCTGTGTGTAACTCTTTCAAATAAACAAATAAATCTTAAAAAAAAAAAAAAAAAAAGAGAGAGAGAGATCTAGCATCTACTGGTTCACTCTTCATATGGCCACAATGACAGGGGCTAGGCCAGGCAGAAGCCAGGAACCAGGACTTGTTCTGGTTTTCCCTGTAGGTGGCAGGGGTCCAGGCACTTGGGCCATCTCCACTGCCTTCCCAGGCACATTAGCAGGGTGATGGACTGGAAGTGGAGCGTCTGAGAGTTGAACTGGGGCCTGCATTCGATGTCAGCACTCTGGGTGGCGGCTTAACCTGAGAGTCTGCAAAGCACTGACTGTTATTTCACAGGGTCCTATGGTTTTGCAGTTTTAAAATTATTTTTAAAATTTAATTAATTAATTTGAAGGCAGAGTGACAGAGAGATAGCGAGAGCTTCCATCTGCGGGTTCACTGTTCAAATGCCTGCAACAGACAGGACTGGTCGAGGCTCAAGCAAGGAGCCTGGAACTCCATCTGGGTCTCCCATGTGGTGGGCAGGGGCTGCACTTGGGCCACCACCTGTTGCCCTTCCAGGTGCATTAGCAGGGAGCTGGATCAGAGGCAGAGCAGCCGGGGCTCAAACGGGCACTCATGAGATGCCAGCCAGGCCAGCAGCTTAACCGGCTGCATCACAGCTCCCACCCTGCTCTGGGGTTTCAGACCGTGGGAAAGGCTACCTTTCTCCTTATTTCTTGTGTTTTTTTTATTTTTTTTATTTTTTTTGACAGGCAGAGTGGAAAGTGAGAGAGAGAGACAGAGAGAGAAAGGTCTTCCTTTGCCGTTGGATCACCCTCCAATGGCCGCCGCTGCAGCCGGCGCACCGCGCTGATCCGATGGCAGGAGCCAGGAGCCAGGTGCTTTTCCTGGTCTCCCATGGGGTGCAGGGCCCAAGCACCTGGGCCATCCTCCACTGCACTCTCTGGCCATAGCAGAGAGCTGGCCTGGAAGAGGGGCAACCAGGACAGAATCCGGCGCCCCAACCGGGACTAGAACCCGGTGTGCCGGCGCCGCAAGGTGGAGGATTAGCCTATTGAGCCACGGCGCCGGCTATTTCTTGTGTTCTAAAACACCTCAGGCATGTGGAATCAGCAAGACAGCCAAGCTGGAGGAGGGCTGGGCAGGTCTCCAGGGAAGAGACAACGGTGTGTGTGGGGGGTTCTGCTCCTGGGAGACCCAGTTTGCCCTCACCCCGGGGAGAATCTGTCCACCCGGGGGAGGCACCTGAGCGGAACCAGGTCCTTGCTGGGGTCTTCACTCCTGCCTGTCCCACCAGTACACGGACCGGCCTCCCTCCACTCCCGGCTTCCAGGCCACGGCTCTGCCAAGTCTCTTCTCTCCACCCCGCATCCATCACCAACTGCTGCCCCACTTCCCAGCCCTTCTCACAGAAGCAGTCCTTGAGAGCAGTCTCCACTCACGTCCCTTCTTCCTCCCCTCCCGGCCCCACCACTCCGCTGCCGCAGCCTGGAGCTTCACCAAGGACCCCCAACGGCACAACCCTCCGGGGATCAGCCCCCCTCTCAGACCGGAACAACTGGGCGGCCCTTTCATCTCACACCCTTCCTCTCGCCTCCGGGACACCTCCGTCTCCTGATTCGTCCCCTGCCGCACCTGCCGCTGGGCGAGCTCTTCACACTTCCGGGAGCTCTCAAAGTTGGGGGGCCCCGGGGGTTAGTGCTGGGACCTCTTCTCTTTTCTGTCTACGCTCATTTACTCGCATGGAAAGATGTGGATATTCGCTCACTTGGTGGGGTGGGAGTAGGGGAGTACCTGTCAAAGGTGAGGGCGTCATCTACACTATACTTGGGGGGTAATATGTGCCCCGCTCTAGGGAGGAATTAAACCCACGGCGATGACCCGCCCACTCTACGCGGCATTTATGCAAACAGGCTGAGAGGGGCGCGGATCTAGTAAACGGAGGTGATTTACCCGGATAAGACCTTCCGAATTCTGAAGTCATTCTTGCGGGGGTAGAGAGCGCTCCCTCCCGGTCTGGAGGGGGACGTGTGTATGCGGTGGATCCGGTAGTATCCACCCAAGCAATACGTTCCGCGGCAGTGAAGGAGAGGCAGGGGCCAGCTCGCATAGCGGCGAGGTCGGCCTCAGTGTTCCACAGCCCGCTCTCCCACACAAACACCAAATGGGTGAACGTGACCGGGGCGGTACGCACCTGGGTTAAGTTCTTACCTTGCAGGAAAGAAGCAGAGCCATCCGGCCTGGACAGCAGGTTCTGTTCGCAAGCAAAGTGCCGGAGGCTGCAGCCAGGGCCCCGAGAGCGAGACTCCGTTCCGGTGTCAGCGTGGGCATTGGCGCCAGCAGCCACCACCCCCTCCATAGTCCCAGAGCCCACGTGCGGGCCGGACCGTCGCTTCCGCCCAGCAGAGTGCGCTTGCGCGCAAGTTGCGTACCCAGTGCGCATGCGTGGGTCCGCTGGCTAACTGGGCGCGCGCACGTGGGTTAGGGTTTACAAACAAATATGACTCCGTCCGCTCCCCGCCTCCCTACTAAGGCAAAGCCATTGGACAATAGAGGAAAGGGGGCGGGCTTTGGCACGGGCTCGTCCTACCCAAGGCCCCCGGGCCTTAAACCTCGGGCGTCCTGATGAGGTTGCCCTCTTCTTTGCCTGTTTACATGATCAACTACAACGGGGCTATCTGAGTAATTTTGGAAAAAATAATTCACCTTCCTCACACATTTACGCGTACTGGCGTTAGTGGGACTGGAAGCAGGTGTTCTATATCACAGTGGTGCTGGCAATTGAATCAGGCTCATGAAAGGGCAGCCCCCGGTCTAGGTTAAAGGAGGGGGCGGGTCGCCGAGTAGGTTGTAAGTCAAGATGGCGTTAGCGATTTCCGCGGCGAGGGTCTGGGGGCCTAGGCGCCAGGCTGTGCCCCTGTTGCTGCGGCAGCTTGGGGCGCGGGGGCTGACTAGATCCGTGAGTACTTGGGGCCCCCGGAAGTTTTCCCCAAGGAGTAATAGGGCCGTAAAGGCCTTCTTCGGAGCGTCACCTGCAGGGTGTGCAGCAAGGGCTGGCAGTCAAGGAAGCGAAAAAGGATTGGAAGAGCGCGCGGAGGGGCCTCGCGAGGGAGGAGCTTCCACTGAGGAGGGGAAAGGCGAGGTCGCCCCTCGGCGGGCCCTGAGGGAGGCGTAAGGGTAGGGCTTCTCGCTCGGCGGGGCGCGGGGACGGCGAGACCGTGTCCCTCAGGGGCTGGAGAACGGACTGACGTGGCCAGGGGAGAGTTTCTTGTGGATGGACGTTCTCGTCCAAGCCGAGAAAGGAGGAATGCGGTCCAGTCGCGGGCTTGTATGGGGTCTTCATTTCTTTGCTCCTTCGCCTCAGTTCTCGGTTTAAGACGAGTCGTGTGAGGAAGCCATGGACTCCTGCGTGCCCTGAGGGGACGTCGGCAGGCAGGGACTTGACTGTGCTTGGGACGCTACCGAGGAGGGCAGCCATAAGTATTTGTTGAATTTACGAGGGAGGAGAGGACCGGCCGGGGCATCTGCCCACATTTCTCGAAAATCCTTGAGGAATTTTTATTTCTTGTCCAAAGGGTCCGAGGGCCTTCTGGTAGAAGCCGCTTGGGGTAAAGTCGCCCCGCGGACCCTCTGGTGGGGAGAGGGGCTGACGTGGACCAGGGAAGGGCCTGAGCTACAGCCCGGGGGGCTCACAGCCCTGCTGTGCCCCTCGGTGAACCCTTAGGGGGTGGTTGTGAAAACACGCGAGGTGTGAGAACCAGCCCTGCAACAGGAGTGTCGGGGCGCGACCTTGGCGAGGGGAGCGGAAAGGAGGTGGCTTGAACTGTGGGGTTGGGTCTGAGCCCCAGTGTGTGAGGCAGGGAGGGGAAACCGTAGGGGGAATCTCTGATAGAAAGGAGGGAAGAAGGGTGTGAATGCTTGGAAGAGAATCACCTGAAGCAGGTAGAGGCCGAGGAGGCGCAGGTGCAGGGGGCGGGGCAGCCTTCTGCCTTGGGGCTGTTCTCTTGTAGTTTTTTTTTTTTTTTTTTTTTTTTTTTTAAAGCAGTCAGAGCCTCTACCGTTGACCTCATTCCCGAGAGCCCACTGGCTGGGCAAGTCGGGTGGGAGGTGGGCAGACTGGGGCAGGCCAGGGGAAGGTCGTTTGTGTCTGATTAAACCTGTTTCTGTTGGCTCAGTCTCCTTGTTGCCTGCCTGCCTTCATTTTTTTTTTGGGGGGGGGCGGATACTCATACTTTTATTTATATATGTTTACTTAGTTAAGTTTCTAAAGATGTATTTATTTGAAAGTCCGGTAGAGAGAGAAAGATAAGATCTTCCATCTGCTGGTTCACATCGCAGATGGCTGCAATGGTTGGGGCTGGGGCTGGGCCTGGCTGAAGCCAGGAGCCAGGAGCTTCCTCCAGGTCTCCCCTGCGGGTGCAGGCCCAAGCACTTGGGCCACCCTCCACTGCTTTCCCAGGCGCAGTAGCAGGGAGCCGGATCTGAGGTGCTGCAGATGGGAATGTGAGATGCTGGTGTCACAGGTTGCGGCTTTACCTGCTATACCACAATGCTGGCCCTGTTTATGTATATCTTGATTTATATTTTCTTTTTTTTTTTTTAAGGATCTATTTATTTATTAGGCAGAGGCAGAAAGAGAGAGGTCTTTCATCCGCTTGTTCACTCCCCAAATGGCCAAAACAGCTGGAGCTGCACCAGTTCGAAGGCAGGAGCCAGGAACTTCCAGGTCTCCCAAGCACTTGGGCCATCCTCCACTGCTTTCCCAGGCCATAGCAGAGAGCTGGATGGGAAGTGGAGCAGCCGGGACTCAAAGTGGCGCCCATATGGGATGCCGGCGTTGCAGGCAGTGGCTTTACCTGCTACGCCACAGCGCTGGCCCCAATTTATATTTTCTTAGAGTCACTGTCTCCCACCTGTATTTTTGCCACCTAAGATTTTAAAAAGAGGCTCCACTTTTTTAGTGTAGAGAAGGGACATAGCATTTCTTTTTTACAAGATTTTATTTATTTATTTTGAATATATATTTATTTATTTATTTGGAAGTCAGAGTTACACAGAGAGAAGGAGAGGCAGAGAGAGAGAGATCTTCCATCCGCTGTCTCATCCCCACTTGTCCTGAACGGCCGGAGTTGCGCCAATCTGAAGCCAGGAACCGGAGCTTCCTCCAGGTCTCCCATGAGGTGCAGGGGCCCAAGGAGTTGGACCATCCTCTACTGCTTTCCCAGGCCATAGCAGAGAGCTGGATCGGAAGTGGAGAAGCCGGGACTTGAACTGGTGCCCATATGGGATGCTGGCACTGTAGAGGGCGGTTTTACCTGCTACACCACAGCGTCGGCCCCAAGATTTTATTTGAGAGAGAGAGCTATAGACCAAGAGGGGGAGAGACAGAGAGGTCTTTCATCTGCTGGTTCACTCCCCAGATGACTGCAATGGCCGGAGCTGGGCCAGTCCAAAGCCAGGAGCTTTTTCCAAGTCCCCACCCGACCCTGGATGCAGGGGCCCAAGCAGTTGGGCATCTTCCACTGCTTTCCCAGGCCATTAGCGGGGAGCTGGATTGGAAGAGGACAGCCAGGACAGGAACCGGGACTTGTATGTGACGCCAGTGCTGCAGGCAGAGGCTACTATGCCACAGCACCAGCCTGGAGCCATAGCATTTAGTTAAAGAAGATTCTAGGCCAGGGTTGTCCAGTAGAACTAACTTCCTTATTTTTTTTTTAAAAAAGATTTGTTTTATTGATTTGAAAGGCAGAGTTATATATAGAGGGAGAGACAGATATATTCCATCTGCTGGTTCACTCCCTACATGGCCACAGGGTCATGAACTGGGCTGATTCAAAGCCAGGAACCAGAAGCTTCTTCTGGGTCTCCCACGTGGGTGCAGAGGCCCAAATATTTAGGCCATCTTCTGCTGCTTTCCCAGGGATTAGCAGGGAGCTGCATCAGAAGCAGAGCAGCTGGGACTCGAACCCATGCCCACGTGGATGCAAGCACTGTGTGTGGTGACTTAACCTGCTACCCCACTGCACCGGCCCTTCTTCTTTAAAGAGATTTATTTGAAAGGTAGAGTTAGAGAGATCTTCCATCTGCTGGATCTCTCCCCAAATGGCTGTAATGGGCAGGGCTGGGCCAGGCTGAAGCCAGGAGCCTGGAGCTCCATCTGGGTTTCCCACATGGTGGCAGGGCCCAAGCACTTGGGCCATTCTCCACTTGTTTCCCAGGCGCATTAGCAGGAAGCTGTATCAGAAGTGGAGTAGCTGGGTCCGGCACTGTGGCGCAGTGGGTTAAAGCCCTGGCCTGAAGTGTGGGCACCTGTTCGAGACCTGGCTGCTCCACTTCCTGTCCAGCTCTCTGCTAAGGCCTGGGAAGGCAGTAGAAGATGGCCCAAGTCCTTGGGTCCCTGCACTCACATGGGAGACCCAGAAGAAGCTCCCGGCTCCAGATTGGCACAGCTCCAGCTGTTGCAGCTATCTGGGGAGTGAACCATCAGATGGAAGACCTCTCCCTCTCCCTCTCCCCCTCCCCTCCCCCTCTCTGCCTTTCCTCTCTCTGTGTAACTCTGACTTTCAAATAAATAAATAATAAATCTTTAAAAAAAAAAAAGTGGCTGGCGCTGCGGCTCACTAGGCTAATCCTCCACCTGCGGCGCCGGCACCCCGGGTTCTAGTCCCAGTTGGGGTGCCAGATTCTGTCCCAGTTGCTCCTCTTCCAGGCCAGCTCTCTGCTGTGGCCAGGGAGTGCAGTGGAGAATGGCCCAAGTGGTTGTGCCCTGCACCCCATGGGAGACCAGAAGAAGCACCTGGCTCCTGGCTTCAGATGGGCACAGTGCACCGGCCATAGCAGCCATTTGGGGGGTGAACCAATGGAAGGAAGACCTTTCTCTCTGTCTCTCCTCTTACTGTCTAACTCTGCCTGTCAAAAAAATAAATAAATAAAAAAAGACCTCTCTCTCTCTGTAACTCTTTCAAATAAATAAATCTTCGAAAAATAATTTAAAAAAGTGGAGCAGCTTGGACTTGAAGCAGTGCTCATATGGGATGTCACTGTTGCAGGCTATAACCCAGCTCACTACACCACAGTGCTGGCCCCAAGAACTTTTGGCAGTAGTTGAAATGTGGTACTGCACACTTTAAATGTAGCTGGTGTTGGGCCGGTGCTATAGCGTTTGTAGTAAGCTAAGCCTCTGCGGCTTTAGCATCCCATATGGGCACCAGCCAGTTTGTGTCCTGGCTACCCCTCTTCCAATCCAGCTCTCTGCTGATGGCCTAGGAAAGCAGTAGAGGATGGCCCCAATACCTGGGCCCCTGCACCTGTGTGGGAGACCTAGAAGAGGCTTCTGGCTTCAGATTGGCCCAGCTCTGGCCGTTGCGGCCATTTGGGAAGTGAACCAGAGGACGGAAGACCTCTTTCTCTGTCTCTGCCTCTCTCTGTGACTCTATCTCTCAAATAAATAAAATCTTTAAAAAAAAAAAAATGTAGGGGGCTTGAGCCATGGCTTACTTGGTTAATCCTCTGCCTGCGGCACCAGCATCCCATATGGGCTCTGGGTTCTAGTCCTGGTTGCTCTTCTTCCAGTCCAGCTCTCTGCTGTGGCCCGGGAAGGCAGTGGAGGATGGCCCAGGTCCTTGGACTCCTGCACCCACGTGGGAGACCAGGAGGAAGCACCTGGCTCCTGGCTTCGGATCGGCGTGGCGCTGGCCATGGCAGCCATTTGGGAAGTGAACCAATGGAAGAAGGACCTTTCTCTCTCTCTCTCTCTCTCTCTCTCTCTCTCTCTAACTCTACCTGTCAAGTAAAAAAAAAATTTTTTTAAATGTAGCTGGTGGGCCTGCACCGTGGCTCACTTGGCTAATCCTCCACCTGTGGTGCTGGAATCCCTTATGGACCCCGGATTCTAGTCCCAGTTGCTCCTCTTCCAGTCCAGCTCTCTGCTGTGGCCCGGGAGGGCAGTGGAGGATGGCC